CGTATACTGCTAACGCGTAGGCCACTGCCGCACCAGCTTGCGTGCTAGCTTATCCTTTAGTGCCAGACTACGTTACGACGTGTTGAATCGCCCCCACAAAACCTGAATGACTTGGAATCAAAACGATTGATCGACTCAGATCTCGCTGGTTGCTTTTTTGCATACAGTGGACGTAAAATTCATTAAACTGTTATCGCTGTTTGAAAAATTATGCAGCGACATCATCATGTTCGTCGTCATGGCGTATGCATTTTTATTTCAGTCACAGATCTCTGTGATGCCCTCCCGGTTTGATCCTCCTCCCAAAAGCGACAGTCTTTTTTTTTTCCTAAAAAATCCGAAGCGTTTTTTTCACTGATCTTTTCACCTTTGCTCCGCCTTATTGGTTCATGTCATTTGGCCTCGCCAATAAGTTTAGACACTATTTTTTGATCTCACAACACACATGTACAAGTAGGGAGTTCAAAGGTAACCCGCCTACATTCCCCTCAAGTATTTATAGTGATGCTGATACACTTTTTACCATGCCAACTGCGGTTGAAACGTGGCCGTCCGGCGCCGAAAGTGGCAATTTCTTGTCCAATAAAAACAGTAACCGTCTCGACCCCGTGATGTTGGGACACAATGGTCGTGGGAAGACTGTGAAAACGCCTGTGTGACGTTTGCCCATTAATCCAAATAAGATAGAAGTTATAACTGCCCACCCATCTAACCGACAGTTTTCGAACCTTGATAGGCTCGTGTGGCAAACTAGTAGTTACTGGATTTAGGCAGACTCGAAGATCAAGTCTATAGTTGGCCGAAGTTAGGTAAATATCATTATTGTAGCGGCTCTATTGAAAAGGCACAAAACCAAGTTTCCTTTTCTCTGAATTGCAACGAAACTTGGTTTTGTGCCTTTTCAACAAAGCCGCTAGAGTCTGTCCTTTGGATACGATCGGGGAAGAAATCGCATTATATTTATATCCTCTACTTAAGAAGCACTCAACTATGCAGACATGATTCATAATAGTGACTTACCAAACTGGGTATAAGGAAAAGCTTGTTTTCCTCCCGACATTTACGTCATAAAAATTGTTTTCCCGGAAGAAATTTGAACAACTCGTGATCTTCGCTTTGTTCAAATTTACGTCATCGTTAGCAAAACAACCTGGAATAATTCTGTCTGAGAAAAGAACCTTGACCGGACGTGTTAAGCTGTAATGTAGACTGCATGATGTCTGAGATATTCCAACTTCGGCAAATCAGCTTGTCGGGCCAATAAAAAGACCTGGCAACAAATATGAAAAAAATGAGGCATTGTTTTCCTGAAAAAAATTTGAACAAAGCAAAGATCACGAGACCGGCAGAATTTAATGACGTCATGCCCTTTGCCCCCTGCCCCCATTTTTAGTCACGCTTGACTGGCTTTCACTGTAACATGTTCTGCCTGGCTCCGATAACCACCTCCCTCCTCTTTACCACATCGTACGCACCCGCATCTAAGATCAATAGCGTTTGCTCTTTTTACCTACCAATTGGACAGTTTATTTTGCTGTTGAATAAAAGATCATGAAATTGCATGATGTCATTAAATTCTCCTAGTTTTGTTGGCTTAACCTTGTTCAAATATGGGAAAGTTCTCTTCAACCTTGCCGTATATTGCCTTCTCTCCTTAACTGAAATGCGGCAAAGATGGTCGAGACAGTCATCAGACACGATCAAACCTCCCCTGGGCGCCAGTACCACCCTCGCCTGCGATTGCCCCATTGTACTACGGCTTAGCTTTATTTCTAGAAAGGAGGGTCCCATGGCAATGCACATTATGAA